CCTCCAGTATATGGGAAGCCACACACAGAGACCCACAACTGGACAACGTGGAAAGGGTGAAAGACCTTGAACACTCACTCAGTCCTAAATGGGATGTCTCCATCAAAACCCCTCCCCTCAGGGCTCAGGGAAGTATTCAGAAGAGGAGGCAGAGAGATTGTAAGAGATAGTGGGGCTAGAGGACACCAAGAAACAGTGTCTTCCAGATTCAACAGGATTGGTGCACATACGAACTCAGAGACTTTGGTAGCATGCACAGGGCCTGTACAGGTCTAAGCCGGATGGGATCCTGAGAGGGGAAGCAGACACAAGCCCCCATCCCTAACCCACAAGTTTCTTCCAGCGGAGTCTCACTGGGCATACAACCCACTTAAGGGCAGGCCCCACATGCCCAGCAGTAGATGGCCAATATGAGTCAAGGATGGCCATGGTCGCATGAGCCCCAAACGCTGCCTGGCATATTCTAATAAAGTTAACTTGCAGAGGGTGAAAAGGGGTCATTCTCTGAGGTGTTCACAGTCAGTTGCATGCAACCAATAAAAGTGAAAACCAGTCATACCAAATTCTCAAAATAAGATTTCTAAAACAAAAAAGACTAATATCTTGTATTTCCCACATTGACTTTTAATCTTAAAGAAGGTGAGGCTCTGAAACCTTACATTCAAATACAACAAAAACAGGTAGCAGCACTTCACTTTTCCACAGCTTCGAAACACAGAATAACTAGTACAGCACAAGACAGCCCTGCATCTGAAATGGCTGGCATCATCATCGTGTGAGTTATCAGTTCCTCAAGCCTCGATGCCTCAGAAGTCAAGGAAAACCCCAGGAAGGTGATGAGCATGGCCCTCCATCCTCAGAGTATGGACTGTGGGCCAAATGGCCCTGCTTCCCCGTCATCTCACTAGGACCACATGTGGGATCTTGGGCCTTGACATCTGCCACACCACGGTCTGCCTAGCAAGGTCGGCAGAGCACAAGGCTGGAAGAGACCCTCTCCAGGGAGGTGAGGGCGGCACTCTGAAGGGCTCCTCTCAATGGTACTTTCCTATGCTCTTCCACAGGTCTCCATCCACTCCACAGAGCACAGTGTCGGAACTCTACGACCGCCTGGACTGTGCGAGCGGGAAAGGGCACAGACAGAGTCTGCCTGGATTATAAGACAAGGATGTGGAAATCTAATTCCTACAAAGTGGACAGAGCGCCAGACCTGTATAACTCAGTTTCGTGTGTTTCAAACCTATTTTCTGCCTTTGCCCAAATCAAGTCTTCTCAGATCTGTCTATGAAGGCATTTCTGAAAACAAAAACCTGCCCCTTTGGGAAACAGAGCCCACACAGGCCTAATAGTAAGATCCACACAATGCATACACACTGTTTCAGGACAATATGGTACTTATAAGACTCATATGCGTGCCTAAAAATTAATTTTGGTAGCTTTTTTCATCAGCTTATTTCCAATCTCAAACTTCCCAGGGGTAGAAAACACACACACACACACACACACACACACACACACACACACACACACACACCACCCCTACAGCAGAGACCTGTGAGAACTCCACACTCTCTACTACCTGCCTCTCTGTACTCAGCTTTTCCAGCAGAACCGCAAGCTTCACACCCCTGCAGGCCCTGCCCGGTGAGCAGAGGGGCTCACACTCCGCCCAAGAGGAAGCGGGCCCTGCAGAAGGCCCTCGTCCCTGAAGTCCTATGCGATGCTAATTCCAGTCTGTCCTTTACTAAACAGCTCTAATTAAGCAATCGTCTACTGTGATGGGCCAGGATTTAACACTTCAAGTCCTCTTCAAAAGGTGAAAAATATCCTAATTTCAGAAAAGATGCAAGTTTCTTATTCTTATTTATTCTATATTTGAATAGTACAGAGGGCATGCTTTTAATATTTATGAGCCAAGAATACTTCAGATTGATCATATACAGATATACCTTGACTGAAACAGCCTAAGCTGAAAATGTGTTTGACAAACACAAAAAACAAAAGAGTGGGAGGGATTTTGTTAGGAGGAGGGAGGGTTGACATGGTGGAAGGGGGGTAAGATGGGCAGGAGGTGTGTGATTAGATTACATTATAGAAATGTGAAACCACCAAGGAACAAATTTAACTTAAAAATGAGTTTAAAGGGTAGGGATATAGCTCGTGATATAGAGCACTACCTAACATGTACAAGGCTCTACATTCAATCCTTACAAAAAAGAAAGAAAAGACTGAGAAAGTGCATTGACTACACTTGACTAATGACCACTCTCCCCTAGCACGCCACAGTGCACTCCAGGGTCCACTGTTCCTTGCTAATGGCAAACTGACTAGCTGCTGAGACTCACCACCACTGCCCAGCAGCCAGAGATCACAGGAGCACATCCTAAGAAAATGGCCAACTACCGACAACAGTCTCTACGAACAATAAACGTTTTCTTGTTCATCGGTTGAGACAGTGTCTCACTAAGTGGCCCAAGCTGACTTTGAATTCTTGGCCTCAGGAATCCTTGGGCCTCAGCTTCCTGAGTTAGCTGCAAATACAGGTACAGGCCACAGCCACCAATCCCAGCTACAGAGGGTGTCTACTGATTATGTATCACTTTACACAATTGTAAAGCTAAGAAATCATAAATTAATCCCTAAGTCTAGGATTCATTAACAAATTTCTGGGCTCTAGCTAAGACCCTCATACAAACTGGAATATGGTTCCCTCTAGGCAGATAAATCATAAAGGCAGGCCTCCAAATGCCCAGCTCGACAAGTATCCCTACCCCGAGTGCCTTGCCTGCAGCTGTAAACAAGATAAAGTCCACTCTTCAAATAGCTCAGACTCTGAGAGAGAGAAGCACACATATTCAAGTTCCATGGTTTCTCTATGACTTCCAAAGGTTACATTTAACATGCTCCAGCTAAATCCTCACCTCATCACTCGGGAGGCAGAGGCAGGTGGATCTCTGTGAGTTCGAGGCCAGCCTGGGCTACAGAGTGAGTTCCAGTTTAATGAGTCGAGGATTTTTTTTTTTTGTTGTTTTTGTTTTTGTTTTTCAAGACAGGGTTTCTCTGTGTAACAGCTCTGGCTGTCCTGGAACTCACTTTGTAAACCAGGCTGGCCTCAAACTCACAGAGATCCACCTGCCTCTGCCTCCCGAGTGCTGGGATTAAAGGCGTGCACCACTATCAGGCTTGTTGTGCGTTCAGTTTTTAACAAACACAAATAAATAAATAATAAAATAAAATAAAGAGCAAAGAAACACAGAAAACTGATAGAGTATAAAGACAAAATATTTTGACAGTTGTAAAATGTATTTCTATTTCATGCTAATTGTTATTACAAGAGCCAAAAAGTCAAGTTTTCTTTTCATTTGTAAGATTAAATGATAACCTTGGTATGCTAATGTTCATTTACTATTGAATGAAAAACAACTTTTATAAGCACAGCCTGACAACCCAGTATTCATGAAGTCTACCATGGTGCCCATGCTCCAGGACACCAAGGTCACTCATCACACTCTTACCAGCCAAGGCAGCTTCAAGGGCTGCAGCCTCCACATACAGCGAGGAGCTTAGGCGAAGGTAGCACTTTTACCTCTTACACTGTACTACTTTTTACTCTTTTTAGATATACAAATACCCCTGTGTTACAACTCCCTCAGCTCAGATTCTTAAACTCTGGGTCACTTGCTTGGTTCTTAAAAACTGAATGTGGGGCTTGAAAAAGAAAACTTTGGCAACAGTAAAAGATTTCTAAACAAGCACAGACCAAAAATTAATTGAAAACCAAATGCATGATGAATGCAAAATGGGGGGGGGGGGCAGTGCTCACTGATGTTACAGCATAGACTGTACTACGGTCTTAGCTCTGGACACAGAACAAGTGTACTTGTACCAAACCGGCCATCACACACTCAAGGAACCCTGCCTGAAATACCTGGGCTCAGATTCCAAACAATTACATGTTGTAAAGTGCCCTGTTAAACTTTCCAAAGTGTTCTGCTCCTCTAGAAACATGTAACAACTTAAAAGTTTCCAACCATTGCATGAATGTATCAAATCAGTCTTGGTCATTGTGTTGCATTGCTAGTGTTAAAATATTTGATTTTAAAAATTACTGTTACAGTTTCTGACTTGAGTTTTGGTAAAATAAATAAATAAAAGGCTTGGGGTTAGGGCAGAATTTTCAACAATTTCTGAAATGCCCTTAACCATACTTCTGCGATTTGGTACCATGTACTATGTTGAAGAATGTTCTCAGCATCACCTCAAAGCACGGATCAACTGAAAACCCAACAGATGCTCCACGTCCCACAGCATTTAATGGTCATCTGAGACCTAATTCTTTTGTGTAGAAATAAACAAGCATATCACTTTAGTGCGCAAATTTTCTTTTGGTGCTGGGAATAGAACCTAGAGCCTCAAGCATGTTAAGCCCACATCCTACCCCAGGCTAGACCTCCAGCCTTATACACAAATACTGATGAGATACTTCTTTGTTGAAAATGAGTCAGTTTGCTCTGACTTCTGCAAATAACGTACTGTGTAAATGTCAATTCCAACCTTTTTCACTTCTTCATCTTCACACAACTTACAGAAGTCAATCTCCGACAGGTATGGGAACGCAGTGGGAAAGCTCACTGGATAGCACCTGCCTAGCATGCTTGAAGTGCAGGGTTCAATCTCCCATAGACACAAAAAGGATAGAGGAGGGATTTTCTTTTTTTAAATGAAGAGAAAATCACAGTGATTCAATAATCAGAAAATATCAACCATCCAGTTCAGATTCCATAGTTCCTGCTAAGAAATGACAAATCTCAGCCTTGAACAGGAAAACTAACTCTGTGGAATTAATTCATTCAACACATAAGGGACAGCTACTACATAAGACAAGGAGAGACACAAAATGGAGCTGGCCATGAAGCAGGCTGTGTCTAAGGGACCCACACCCAGCGACACACTTGATGACGAGGTCCCTGGAAGCCTTTCTTCACTGAACAGAGCCTTACCTCGGAGATTTCTGGGATGAATCTGCTTCGTTCGAGGCATTTTCTTAGATTTAAGAGCTCCTTTTTCTTCTTAGAAATTGCTGGAAGAGCAGGTTACAAAAGGCTGGCTCCATGTATTTGTCCGACATCAGTTAATCCACATGCTGGAAAGGAAGATAAAAGCAGTAAATCTCATTCCTTCAAAAGAAAAGGATACTTCAAATGTTAGAGCATAGAACAGTGCTGACCTAACCACAAGACAAAGTAACCTTTGCAAACATCATTCGCTTTGAACTAAGCCTAGGACAGGTCATCTCGTCACTGCCTAGGCCCTCTTGTTGAGAAAACAAGAGAAAAAAGTCATTAGCCATAGATTAGACTAGAGTGAAAATATTCGCTTTAGAGTAGCATTACTGGAATTACAGTTAAAGTTAGTGTGAGGTAAAGACACACGCTGTATACAGTCCATGTGCCCATTCCTAAGGGAAGCCCAATGTCCTGGTCATGTCATTTCAGTTGGCCCAGTTAACATGCACAGTTGCTATGGTGGCTGTTCCCCAGTGAGGGCACACCTCCATTCCAGGCTCAAAGCAGGATTGCACATGCCTGTGATCAGCAGCTGCATGTTGACCTTTGAGTAGACACAGACAAGCCTCACAACCATGCTGGCTCACTTAGTTATCAAAGAAAGATCTTCCAGATCATTCTGTCCCCTCTGGCACAGGCCCGGCACTGTTCTAGTCTGTGTATGTTACTAAAGGGTTGCAATGCTAGTAACACAATATGATTATGCTGCCTAAACAAAAAGCAGCCTTTTGTTGTTTTGTCTCTGAGGCCTGGAAATCACTTGTTACTGCAGCATAACCTAGTCTGTCCTGACTGTGCCTTGTCAAAAGCAATCTGAAATGCATTATGCCAATATGTAATTATCCAACAGGCAGGTCCACCCCACAGTCCATGGGCAGTAGCCAAGTTTAACTAGGTATCTCTATGAATGCCACCCAACACAAAAAGGTAAACTTATTTAAAACATTACAAGTTTTCTTTTACCTTTTTTTTGGGGGGGGGGGGGCGGGTAACTCTGTTGCAAGGTTTTTGAGCCATGACATTATGTTGCAATGTCAGGCACAAAAAGGTTATATGCCTGAAACCTAACCACCCAAATGCCCAAATCAGCAACCCTAGTCTCCTCTCTTCCATTAGATTCTTTCTCAATAATCAGTTAAAATTTTAGCCGTAACTTCCTCCAACAACGCTGATAAGCAAAGCCCATTATGTTGGCACGAAAGGTGAAACAAGGTTTAATCACTAAGCAAACATAAAGAATAGAATAAGAATGCTTTGTTTAAAACCTCTCATATCTATTACTGCACACAGCACAAGAGAACACTTAGTGGGTGCCTGTTTTACTGTAGTTTCTACTTATCACCTAACTTAATCCTAACAACTGAGAGAACAGCTCTAATTCATTCATTTTACAGAGGAGAGGGGAGAAAAAAAAAAAACAAGTTTGGGGAGAGGTTATGAAACCTGCCTCAGATCAGTAACTATGGAATGTGGCCCCACATGACTCCATGGGCATTTCCTCAGAGAAGATAACACTTACCTACCCTAGACACCCCCTCCCAATGATGAATGACACAGCAAATTGTGAGGACATACTTTGGAATCAAACCAGACTGGGTTCAAGGCCAGGCTTTACCCCATACTGTGTGGCCTTGTTCAAGGTACTTAACCTTTCTGAAAAGATCAGATTTCCCAAGCTGTAAAACCAGGAAACATTATCCACCTCAGAAGGGTTGTTATACGGACCAAGCTAAACAATGTAGAAGCTTTGCCTGCCACACGAAAATGCTTAAATATTAATTCCCGGGAAGATCGCCTCTAAGGGAAAGAATGTGTCTAAGATCCCAGAATAAGGTTTTAGAAATGTATGCTTTCACTTTAGCTAAAACGCATAAGGAAAAGGCGGCTACAATTAACTTGCTTGCGGCTGTATTTTTAACACGGTTGTTAGTCGGCACAAGCATAGCGCAAACTGTTCACAACCTAATGCAGGAGGAAGAATATGAAACACGATGGTCAACGATGGATGATGTCTCTTGCAGCACCAGCTAATGACCTACAAAAGATAGTGCTCTTCACCTCCCTTTACCACAGAGGCATCAGCTATCGAATTCAAGAAGGTTCCGACTGCACAGAGAATTTAAAGATAAAGCGTATCAATGCTCCGTTCCTTATTAAAACTAAAGCTTCTAAGCGGTCACAATATTACGAAGTTTTTAAAGCGTAAACTCTGATTGTAAGCCGATCACGTGACCCCCATCAGCTCCCAAGCATAAATGTAGAATATGCAAATTCCCAACCTGTAACAGCTTTGGGCGACCCGGTTTTGCAGCCTCCACCCCCTGTCCCTAGCTGTCCAGCCCACGTTTAAATCCAAGGTGGAGAAGTGGGTTCTTTTCAAAGACGACAGCACCGTAGCGACTAGGAGGAGTGATCAACCATTCTTTCTCAGGAAAGAAATACATACTACAAGGTGCAAAAACAGGACACGATCAAAAAGCGTAAAGACAGTCGCAAGGAGAAAAAACATGAATGAATGTGGAGGGCGGAGCCTGGGAAAACCCCTCTGCAACGCTGCACTGAACAAAGCGCTTCGCATGCCAGGAGGAGGGGGGAATGGAAGTGCCAGCTCCGGAAGGAGCCTGGAGTGGATGCGGAGAGCCAGAGGAGGAGGACAGAGCAGGCAAGCGCGGCAGCCTTGAGACTCCTCCTCGCGCCAGCCTCGCCACCGCCCCCTCCCCTCTCTAGCCGCAACTCCTGCTGGAGCCCGACCCCGCGGGGAGCCCGAGCCGCCCCGCGCCCCTGCCCACCTCCCCCGATCCACCGGCGGCGGGCGCGCGCCCTACTCGGCGAGAAACTACCCAGGTGGCCCGGAGTAAACAGGCACTCCGGGCAAGGAACGAAAGGGAAAGCGAGCCACAAAGCCGGGAGGTGCGGAAGCCGCGGCCTGGTCTCCCGCAGCCCCGCCGAGCCCTCCTGCGAGAAGCGGCGGTGGCGACCGGGAGGCCGGCCCTCCGTACCTGCTGGACTCGCAGGACCGCAGCTCCCGCCGCCCGTGCGGCCAGGACCCGCCGAAGTGGCAAGCGGCTCCCGCACGCAGCATCCCCTCCGCAAGGTCGGCGCCGGCACACGCGCACACACTCACACGCACACCCGCGCGCCCGCCCGCCAGGGGGAGGTGGTCCCGGCCCCCGCCCCCCGCGCGGCGCTCTCCCGGGTGCAGCGCCCCTACCGCCGCGCTCGGCCCGCACCCCGCCCGCACCCGTCGGGAGCCGCGCTGCACTTGACAACCGGGACACAAGCAAAAACCTCCTCCCGCGGCCCCGGCCCCGCCGCGCCCGGTCCAGCTGCCGACGGGCACCGAGGCGCGAGCGGGGCGCGGGAGGGACCGGGTGAGACCCCGCGGGAGAGGGGCCTTTACCTCTCCCGGGTGTCCGTGAGGACGGCTGGCAGCGCGAGGGCGACCAGGGCGAAGGTCGGCGGCTTCCCCCGCGCGTGGGCGGGGCGGCAGGGGATCCCCGGGGGCGGCGGGGCGGGGGCTTGCGGCGGGAGGGCGGGCTCGCGTGAAGCCGGCCCGGGGGCCCCCTGCCGCCCCGCCCGCCCGCCCGCCCGCCGCCGCAGGCCCCGCCGCGGGGACCCAGGACGCGGGAGGAGGCGCGGCCCGAGGGGCGGGGCGGGGCGGGGCGGGGGAGGAGGCGGGGCTCCGCGGCCCGGGGAAGCCCGGCCGGGCCGCAGTCGGGGGCGGTTGGCCCGGGAGGAGGGGCGGGGCCGGGCGGCGCCCGATTCTCTTTACCGTCTTTTGACTTTCTAGAGCAGGATGTGGGCCGGGCCGGTGACGTCATGGTGTCTCCCAGCCCCGCCCCTCGCCCTGGCCCTAGTGGGGAGGAGGAGGACCCGGGAGGGAGGGGGGGGGACCCCAAGGGGGTTTCCTCGGCTCCACCGAGAGGGAAGGGGAAATCATTGTGAAACTTGAAACTCATTAACTTTGAAAAATAACTTTTAAAAAAAGAGAAAGAAAGGGGGCGGGGTGTTGGTTTAGAGGGTCGGAGGGGACGCGCTATTAAGCTCTGAACTGAAACCACTTTTTTGGTGGCGGATGTTCTATTAAAAGACCGAGGAAAGCCAAGGTTATTCCGGAGAGAGCCGGTGCTTCCCAGAGCCCAAGCAGCGAGCGCAGTTAACCCCTCCTTGCCCGCCTGACAGCTGGGGACTAACCCGCCAGGGAACTTTGGGAGCCGAGGAGGGGGTGCGGGGCGGAGCCACCCGGCGGGCTTCTGCAACTCTACGGGAGTGAAATGGGAAGGCAGACTAATTTATTACAAACCAGAGTTTGACCCTGGCTGCTAGAAAGCGTTAGAGAAAGGGGCCTGGAAACTTCTAGAACTATCAGGAGAGCTGAATCTGGGGAAGGAAGCAGGTTTTCAAGGTTAGACATAAAGAATGCTAGCAGTTTGAATTTTAAAAGTTCCACACATCCACATAAAAGCCGGCAGAAGTGACTGATTTAACGGGCCACCTCAAAGTTGGAAAGAAAAACGTGTAAAAAAAAAAAGACGCAAAACAAAAATATTCTTTGCTAAACGACCATACGCCTACCAACAGCTGACCATCTGTGCAAACTTGTTTTGTCCCCTAAGGCTTTCATAAAGATGTCCGGGCCGTTCCTGCTAACGGTTGACCCCTAAAATCCCCTGAGGAAGTCCTACCTCTAGCTCATTCGAGCTAAGAAAAGCTCAAAGCCCCAGAATGGAAATGATTAAAAATGGAATACTCAGTAATGGCAAGCTTAGAGCCAAAAATAATGTTTTGCAAAGGGGAAAAATATGCCTACTAAAAAGTAAATTTGGTCATAGGGGCAAAGATCATGCAACTAGAAAGTTCAGATGGTGGGCAACAAGCTATGTTAGCCCTGCAATGAAATAGTGCCATTTTAATTTTTCAGTGGGATAGCATCTACTTTATTAAATGAAACACCCAGTGGGTCGCACTGACAAAACATATAATGTAGCGCCCCTCCCCCAGTCGGGCTATTTGACTCCAAAGCTAAACATGCAGACACACGTGAACATACACAGCTAATGTGTTAGGATAAAGACACATTCTTCGTATGTCGAGTTTGTGTTACTTGGAACGGAAGAAAAAAAGCTAAGTGCCAGGACGCATTCTTTGATTCAATAGTTGCTGAACACAACAGAAATATCTCCACTAACCCAGTGTGTCTTTAGGATATAGCAATGCTATGAACCTTTGAACCAACTGCCTATTTGATTTTGAATTGTCATTTTCTTGAGCAGCAAACAGGTATTAAACCGTATCTCTGAGACACATAATACAGAACACTTTCCTGGTTAAGTTTTCTGAATTTTCTAAATATGATTTATTTTGTGCCAGAATGCAGGGAAAATGCAGCTATGTTATATATAAATAGCTTGTTTCGGCTTGTTTTGTGACACAGTAAATAATAAGTCCTCAGAATATAGCAAATAAACGGAATTGGATGACTGAACTGGACTAGCCTGTGAGTGGTAAACTTCAGCTTGAACTGTCAAAAATCCTGGAACAACTGGGATCCGGGTTCTAGATTAGGAGAAGCAGAGGGGTTCCAAGGGGCCCCTCTCTGCCTATCCAGCGGGCCATGTAAACATCTATGCTGCGCCCCTTGGGAGAAGTGGGGTCCTGTGGGGACTGACCGCATTTCTCCAGCTGAGCAGTTTGGGGAGAGCACAGGTCCAACCCGGGGCCGCGCCGGCTCCTTCCCCAACCCGGGTTCCCACGCGGCCGCCGGGCTCTGCCTGGCTCGGGCTCCCCCTTGGCGCGGCCCCGCGGCTCCAGCCCTCCGCCCCGTGCGGCCAGCAGCGCCACCGCCACGCGGAGATCCCGGAGGTTCCTCCCGCTGGCCCTGGGTCACGCCGCCAGTCCCTCCCCTCCACCCTGCACGCTGGGCTTTCCCGTCCACCAGCGAGTCCCCTCCCCGCCCCCCCCCACCTCCCACTCGGGGCGACCGGACCACAAACCCTTCCCCGCTTAGCTCCGCAGCCACTGTCCCCCTACGACCAGGCTCTTCCCAAGCCAAGCAGACAAAAGAGCCGAGTGAAGAAAACTTACCGAACTGCAAGGCAAAAAGTCTGCTCCCAAGCTTCCTGGGTTCAACTTTTCATTTTAAAAACAACAAAAGCAGAAACCAAAAGCCTCCTAGGTTGGAAGTGGGCGTGAGAGGAAACGCTGGGGGAGGCGCTTGGTTCCCTCGCTGCGCTGCTCCCCCCCACCCCACCCCTTTCTGGCCCCTGCTCGTAGCTTTGATGTTATCTGGTGAACCGCCTACGTGGGTTCTACCTTGAGCTTAGCGCCTGGTGACAGTGGGATACTCTCCTCTGTGGGTGCTGCTAGCAGCCAGCGCAGCAGGTGGCCAGAGGACGGAATCCCCAGCTCTAACCCAAGCTGGAAAAGGACCTTTGTGGACTCCCTCCTTCACCTGAGCTCTCCCAGCTAGTAGTGATCTTGGTCTTGGAGCCGCACTGCTTTCTCTGCTGGAATCGGAGAAGGAGGTCTCCAGATGACATTCTTTTTCCTTCCCCTCACAGTACAAACTTGTAATGAGATCGTTTGGGTGTTTCTCCAGGCTCTGTGCAGTTTTTAGACCTCAGCTTTGGAAGCAGATATTATTTTCTCTCTGAGATATTCCTGCAGCCTTGAAGAGGCAAGAATACAACTCCCAAGATGATAAACTATAATAATACACTACAGATTCCCCTAAGGGTCAAAATACCTGCACACCCTCCTGCATCTGTTATGAAAAGCTTGTAAGTCTTGATTTTATTTTATTTATCTGCACACTAGCTCAACCTGGATATATATTTTGTATTGTTTCCCGTCTCAGAATCATCACTAAGGAGAGCTGCTTTGGAAATCAGAAACAGAACAGGTTAGTAATAAAGGAAAGGCACCGTCTCTCATTCATCCTCCCTGGCACATGCCCTTTATGACAACACCAGGCTGTGTTTAGGCCTTGCCCTCTGGGAGTTTACAAATTAATGGAGGCAACACAAACACATGGAAAAATACCTGGAGGGAGAAAAGATACAAGCCACAGCTTATAAACAGAGCCAATTAAAGTGCACGAGTTATTTATATTACTGCTGAGCGATCTTTGGGTGGAGGGAAAGGTCTATCCAAAAGAAAGTTCCAAAAGAGGGTGAGTCCTCAGCAGAGTTTGAGGGAAAGCTCAGGATTTGCCAGTAAGATAAGCCCAGTTCTCGAGCCCAGAGAGAGAAGCAGCTGCTAAGTGAGGGGTTATTTCCTGCCTGGAGTAGGAAGTCCGTCCAGGCAAGTGAGAAATGACAGACACCCAAATTAGGAGGCTTTGGAGAGTGGGAGGGAAGCTCTTCCTATCCGGACCCAGACAGGAGCCACGCACTTTGGAGAGTGGGAGGGAAGCTCTTCCTATCCAGACCCAGACAGGAGCCACGCACCTGGGCCGTCCTGATAGGTTTCTCTAATAGAGGCTGAGAGGCAGTCAGAACGAACTGGCACCAGGCAGTTAGAGAAGAGCCAACTCATTCATCGATTGGAAGGAATTAAGACATGATACTGCAAGCAGTTGGTAGTCGTTTGGAGACATCTGGACAGAGAATGGTCTTTTTAAGTAAAGTTGTTGTGGCTGATGGATTTAGGATAGATACGGGAGCTGGGTACAAAGACTACAGCAAGCCACACTAGCTGTAGAATGGCCGAGGGAGTGATGGTAGCCAGCTTTTGTCTCCCGTTTCTCCTTCATCCCATTTCTAAAATGTTAAATAATCTGCCAGGAGCCATGGAGTTAGTGCACAATACATTCGTGACTGGGATCCAGAGAACATTCGGATGGTTAAAGCATAAAGGTTGTATTTTATGGAAAATAGACTATAATACCTTTATAATATTCTGCATCTGTGGAGCAGAAAAGGAAAGAAGTCATTGTTTAGAAATCTACATCTATTCAAGTTTTGAGAAATTGGTGCATGATGTCATAAAAGTGTATTTGTTGGGATATTTGAGGCTGGAAGAGTGAAGGGAAAATGTGTTTGGGTTTGAACATATCTAATTTTGAGAAGGATAATGTCCCCTGCATTATCTAGTGTCTAGTTCAACGTTAAGTATGACTGGTTCATGAATATTATTTGATGTACAACCTGTT